TTATTTTTTTTCTTTTTTTTTTTCGTTGCTTGATAGCTGGAGGCTGTGGTTGGTGTGGTCAAAGTGGGACGGGGAGGGGACACGCTTGGAGGAGACACCTCTTTGGGAGCAAAGCCCAGCCCTTTCACCCACAGCTGGTCAGGCTTGGCGTGGTAGGTCCTGCTGAGCACCCAAGGGTGGTGGAGGATGCTCATCCAGATGCGGCCACCATGGTGGCTTGTGTTGACGACGCGCCCTGGAGGTGTCCTCTCGTGTCCCTTCTTCCATCCTGCACCCCGTGTGGTGGCACGAGGGGCCATGCTTAGTTCATTAAGGGATTTTCTGGGGTTTGTTGGGAGTTTTTGCCTTGTTTTGGAGTTGTGTGTGCGTGTGTGTAGGGATTATGGGTTTTTTTAGGCGGGGCGTGGTGGTCGTTTTTCGCTTGATCGAGTTCAGCACCCTATAAATGCGTGTCCTCCTCTTCCTCCAGGTCCTCCTTCATGAGGGTGTCGAGAGGAACGATCCAGCTGTCCCCCAGCTCGCCGTTGAGGTTCACCTTCTTCTCCTGCATTTCGGAGGAGGTCTCCATCACCTCCAGCGTGGGGTTGTCGTGGTAGCCGTTCTCCATCGTCTGCAGCTCCTCGGTCAGGCGCTGCTGCGAGGAAAGAAAACCCAGAAACCCCCATGAAAAAGAGCTTGGCCGTGCTGTGTGTGCCACCTCGGGGCTGTCACCTCCCAGCCAGCCATGGCCGCTGCCCCGTATAGACGTATGTAACTACATATAGAGACTTTCAGAGTGAGGTTGGAGGCTGGGGGCTGCAGCCAGTGCCAGCACAGCAAAGGGGTAGCATGGAGCTGGCAAGAGAGACTCTGCTAATGGTGGGAAGGAGGAAAGAACAGCCAGAGACACGTGGAAAACCTCCAGTAGCAGCTGCCAGCTTCAGCCTGGCCACGTACCCGTGGCTCCATGCCCTCTGAGACCTCGAGAAGAAGGCTGAGCATCGCTGCTTCACCCTGACCCTGCATCCTGGCCCCATCCTTTACCTCCTCTTTCTTCCTCCCTGTCCCTTTTTAGCTGCTTGATTGTTATTCTCCTCCTCTACCCGGGGGCACTTCTCACCTTGCAGGTGCTGCTTGACCCTTTTGCCCCCTCCCTAAGCATCATCCCGGAGCTCTTGGTGGAAACCAGGCAGGGAAAAAAACAGCCCCTCCCGCCCCTTTCCCTTTGGCCACGAGTGGTTTTGGCTGATTCATGGATGAATCAGGCACCACATCACCCCGGTCCTTTGCTATGCCGTGCTCCAGGCTCTGAACTAGCAGTTTCCCCCCATCCCAATTTTCCATTTGGCACAGCAGCTCCTTCATCCCTATCCCATCCTGGGAGGGATTCACGGGGGGAGCTGCAGTCTTCTGTCAGTCTTTTTATTTTTGGGGGGGAGGGGGGAACGTGGGGCTCTCTCTAGGCACCCTTGTTAAAATCTGCCTGGATTTGCAGCTTGATTTATTACAGTGCTCCTAATAAATGTCAGGAGACGGGCGTGGGAGGGAATCCACAGAGAAGGAAAAGGGATGGAGAAGCAAAACCGCAGGGCTTTGGCGCTAGCGGGGGGTGGGAGGCTGCGAAGGTGCTGCTGGGGGGGGTCCCTGGGCTTGCACGTGGTGGTGGGGGATGCGGGCAGGGATGGTGGAGCTGGGGGGCCATTGCTCAAAAGCAGAAGAGGCACCTTGGCTCTCTGGCAGGGGCTGTTTTGCCCCATGGGGTTGCTGGTCCAACCCCTGGATGGATGGATGGATGGAAGGATGGATGGATGCTCAGGCAGCGCTTTCTCCCCCGCTGCAGCAAGGCACCCCCCCAACACCGTGCAGCAAGAGGAGGGGGGAGTCTTTAAAGCTGGGCTTTAGTCCTGTTAAAAGCTCTTGAACCCTACCAAGCACTGGGGGGTGAGAGCTGGGGGTTGTTACGGATGCGGCGCCCGCCCCTCCGATCCCTGCGTTGGAACTCACATTAAAGATCAGGGCCACATGTCCATCATCAAACCCGGGGACATCAGGGTGGATGTGCTGGTTATTTCCAAGGTAAAACAACAGCAGGGTTTAGAATGGGGGAGGGAGGGAGAGGGCATCATCAAACCCGGGGACATCAGGGTGGATGTGCTGGTTATTTCCAAGGTAAAACAACAGCAGGGTTTAGAACGGGGGAGGGAGGGAGAGGGTTGGAGAAAAGAATAAAAAAAACAAAAAACAAAAAACAAACTTTCAAGTCATTTTTGGAAAAGAAGTAGGAAGAAAACAAAAGAAACCACCCCAAAAACAAATCCAGAAAGGAGAAACGTGTTTGGTTTTCTAAAAGCCTCTTGCAACTGCTTGGAAAAAAGGTTTTTTTTTTTTCTGTGCTCTTAGAAAAAGCTGGACCAAGGAACTGGTGTCCCTTGCTTTGGTTTCACTGCCTTACCCTGTGACTGGTGGGTACCTGGGACCTCCAGAGCATCCAGCCGGGGCTGGTACCTGTTCCTCTGCGCTGTGTTACTTGAGGAAGATGCATTCTCTTAGAAAAAGCTGGACCAAGGAACTGGTGTCCCTTGCTTTGGTTTCACTGCCTTACTCTGTGACTGGTGGGTACCTGGGACCTCCAGAGCATCCAGCCGGGGCTGGTACCTGTTCCTCTGCGCTGTGTTACTTGAGGGAGATGCATTCCCAATGCTAAAAATGCCTGTCATTTCTGTGTCTCTTCCTGAACAATTCCAGGCAAGACTTTTATCTGCTCCCTGTCCCTGCAGGGGGATGTTTTTCACCCTGACCAGGGAGATTTCAGCCGGGGGATGGTCTGGCTGTGAAACCCCGTAAGCTCCAAGAGGACCACAGCAGAGGCCAAATATCTACTGGGGTCTTGCATCCTCCCCAGTTCCCTCCCGAAAAAAACCCAAGCCTTGTAAAAACAAGCCTGATGCTGCCGTTGGTTTGCTCTTTCCTGCCTCTTGTGTTCCTCTCTGTTAAACTCCAAACATTTTAGCCAAGGCTGCCTTATCCCTCACCTTCACGTGGTTCCCTGGGTTGGGTTGGGACCTCCACCTTGGGAGGAATGAACTGGTTTGTGAGGGGGGGAATAACTCAAAGTAGGACCCAGGGGTTTGCTTCTCCATCAGGAGGGTGGTTTACCCTTATTACATCATTTGGCCTCTTTTCTTTCCCCCTCTCCCTTTCTGTTGCAGTCTCTCCTCCGGAGCTAAATCCTCAGCAAGAGCAGGGGCAGATGCAAACCTCGGGTACGTGGCAGAGCTCTCCCTCCCCTGGCACCTGGAACCACCAGTCCTTGCAGGTGGGTGCTACGCTAAAATCACCCAGAATTGCTTCCTGAGATAAAAATGACATTAATTTTTTATTTTTTATTTTTTTTCCCCCACATGCCTGTTCTTCCTTGAACCCTGCTGCTGCTGCTCTGAGATTTGGCCATGGCCCAGCTCTCCTAAAGGCTGAGCTGTGCGGTGTACGGCATCGATGTCCACCTGCAGCCCTTCTCCTGCCGTCCCTCCTGACCTCCAAACAGCCCCTGGCATCCCTGGGATGGCACCAGGGTGATGCTGGACACCCAGCCCTACTCGTAAAGGTAGTTTGAGAATTTTTTGGGATGGGTTTGGAGGGGGTTTTTGCGTTGAGAAAGACTTTCTTGTCAAAGTGATGACCCGAGGATGCTGCTCAGCTGCCCTGTGCCCTGGGTGGCAGTGGGGATGGGTGCTGTCGTACCCCACCACCACCAGCTCCTGGTTCCTCTGGGTTTCATCCTGGCTGCCCCACACCCTGACACCCCCAAAGGGCAGCTCCTGCCCCTTGAGCAACACGCAAGGGTGACAACATGGCAAGCCAGGTTGTCTCCACCAGTGGAGATGGCAACGTTTGATGCACTTCACCTTCTGAAGATGCCTCTGGGACAAAAAGGTCCCAGGGTACTTGTCCCACCCTCTGTCCACCTTACCTGGTCCTTCTTTTGGGAGAAGCGCTGGTGGCAGCAGCCGTAGATGGCCGCGATCAGCAGCAGGGAGCCGGCCAGGGTGACAATGGTGATGATCAGGGGCGTGCTGAACTCATCGTTGATTACCATCTCCCTCTCCAGTTTGTCGTAGGTGGTGTTGGCGATGCCCAGCTGCCACAGAAGGGACGGGTCAGGCCCCAAGGAGAGCTTCTTGTGCCACCCACCTCGGGGGACATCCGTGGGGAAGCCGTGTTGTGCCCAGGGACCTCCTTACCTCCTCTAACTTGTCCTTCTCCTTCAGCTCCTTGAAGACGTTTTCAGGGTCCAAAGGGACTGGGGGAAGAAAGAGGCTTCAATGAGCACAGAGGTGGTGGGGAATGGGACGTTGTCCCACTACTTCCCAGTCAGTGAGGTGACCCCCCTTTCGAGAGGAGGTGGATGGAGATGTGTGGGCATGGATCCAACTCTTGCAGGTGCCTCCACAGCCAGGCAACAAGCCAGGACCTCTTGTCCTGGCAGGGGGACAGCTCTGGAGACCTCAGACCGCACCATCCCTCAGCCTCGAGCTGTGCACACCCTGATGAGGGTCTCTGCTTTGGTGGGTGATTTATAAGTGGGACCAGCAAGGGGCTGTAACTGGCTACTTCCAGGCCATGCCAAAGTGGTGCAAGATGAGTCCCCAGGGCCAGGTTGCCCTGCCCAGGGTCAGCTGCTGGAGGCTGGATCCCCCAACCCAGCCCTGATGACAAAGAGGAGGAGGATGGGGCTCAGTCCTTCCTGCCCCCTGAGCTAGGCCAACATGATGCCACCATCCTCCCAGCACTCTGGTTCTAAAGCAACCTTTGGGCATGCCCAGGCTGAGCTGGACTTCTGCAGAGGGCTCTGATGTGGGTAAGAAACTCCCTCTGTGGTCCCTTAGGGAAGGATTTGAACTGGGCACTGGTTTTTAACCACCTGGGAGGAATTTTTCCTCCTAGAGACTGGTCTCTGCCTTGACTTGTGGATGGGAGAAGGATCTGGTGCATTCACTGGGGAGCAAATCTCATGTCTGGGGTCGTTTTGGCTCTCCCAAGCCTCTGAGATGGGGCAACCTAAGGAGTGGAGCCTCTCAGCCAAGTTGTAGCAGACCCCAAGGGCTCTGCCAAGCATCAGGGTCCTGTGGTAGGGTCCCCGATGCCAATCCCATCCCGTCCCCCCTCGGGGCAGGATGATGGGGTCATACTCACAGTGCACCATCGCCCGCATGGCCCACTGCTGGGAGTAGGGCTCATGGGAGGTCAGCATCACCGTGCACGTATCCCTGCTGGCGTTGAAAGCGTGCTGGCCCGTCGAGCAGAAGCTCTCAAAGAAGGAGATGTTCATGCTGGCGGTCCTCCACTCGGCCTGCAGCGACAGCAAAGGCTCAGCGCCATCCTCCCACCCAGGGACTCCGAGGAGCATCCCACCCCATGGCCAGGGATGCCATGGCCATCCCCATCCTTGGCCATCCCCGTCCTCCCCTGTCCCTTCGCACCGCCCGGCCGCCGCCGGCCCTCCCAGGGAACAGGAAAAGTTTAAAAGTAGTTTTCTTTATGAGAAGCCAAGCTCTTGGCTGCCGTTCCTCACTGGGGCCCTGCAGCCGGCCTTATCTGAGGGCCACAGCTTTTGGTGTTACAGGAATAGCAGGTCCCTGAGGGAAGCAGGACGGGGGGGGAGCTGGGGGAGGCTGAGAGGCCACAGCAGGAGCAGGATGGGGCTGTGCAGCACCCCTACGGGCATCTGCAGCCCTCCCACCACCAGCTTTTCTGCCCTCTGTCCCCACCAGCACGGGTCCCTGTCCTCCTCAGGGCTTTCCCCACGGCTCTGTGGCTCCACAGAGACAAGAGAAAGTGGTTTGCTTTTGGATAAAATGGAGTATCCCTGGAGGGTTTAAGTCTGGGCAGCGCCAGAAGGATGGTAGAGGGTTGGATGGAGGTGCTCTTGAGGCTTTTTGCATCTGCTCGATGCTTCATAGCAGCTGGGAGCTCACTAAAGTGGAGGTGATGGTCCTCCTGCAGGCGCAGGTGCTGTGCATGAAGGTCCTATATGCAAAGGTGCTGTATATGCAGCTCTTACGTGCACAGGTCATGCGTGCACAGATGCTACATGCACCAAGGTCTTTCCTGCACAGGTACTGTGTCCAAGAGTCCTCCATGCGTGCTCCATGCGAGATGCCCTGGCTGGGGTGGACCTTAAACCTCCCTCTACAACACCATCCGTGCCAGGTTCAGCTCTTGCTGATGGCCAGCAGCATCCCCCTTTGCCCCACGGCGAGGACAGGAGCCACCCGGCTGAGGAAGGCACCTAATCTCACCCCATCTTATCTAAATATTTGGGAAGAGGCGGTGGAGACAGGATGCACTTGCTGGGGCGGAAGGCCGGGCCTGCTCAGCCCTTGTGAGGCCCCGGCCGTCCCTGGGAACCGCTGCTGGCCCTCGCCTGTCCTTTCACTTTGCACAAGGAGGAACTTCCCTCCCTTGACTCTGCACCGTCCCTGGGAATAGAGCTGGATGGGAAACCTGCCCCCAGCCCAGCACCAGGGTAGCCCCTGGGCAGCAAGAGGAGACCTCGACAAAGCAGTGTCCCCCCTCAGAAAGCTCGTTCCCAGTGGGACAGGGCCAAGAAGGCCAATGGCATCCTGGGCTGCGTCAAGAAGAGTGTGACCAGCAGGTCGAGAGAGGTCATCCTCCCCCTCTACTCTGCCCTGGTGAGGCCCCATCTGGAGCACTGTGTCCAGTTCTGGGCTCCCCAGTTCCAGAAGGACAGGGAACTGCTGGAGAGGGGACAGCAGAGGGCTACAAAGATGATTAGGGGCCTGGAGCATCTCCCTTACAAGGAGAGGCTGAGGGACTTGGGTCTTTTTAGTCTGGAGAGGAGAAGACTGAGGGGGAAACTGATCAATGCCTTTAAATACTTAAAGGTGGGTGTTAAGTGGATGGGGCCACTCTTTTCTCAGTGGTGCCCAGTGACAGGACAAGAGGAAATGGGCACAAACTTGAATATAAAAAGTTCCACCTAAACATGAGGAGGAACTTCTTTCCTGTGAGGGTGCCAGAACATTGGAACAGGCTGCCCAGGGAGGTGGTGGAGTCTCCTTCTCTGGAGACATTCCAAACCGACCTGGACACATTCCTGTGCAACCTGCTCTGGGTGGACCTGCTTTGGCAGGGGGGTTGGACTAGATGACCTCCAGAGGTCCCTTCCAACCCCGTGTGATTCTGTGAGAGGGTTACAGCTTGGTGGGGGTGGTGTTTTTATCCTCTTCGGACGCTGGGTTGTGCTCCAACGCTGTGACAGCCCTGCAGTCCCTCAGTCCCTGCCTGTGCAGCGTTTGCTGCTGGGTGGAGGCATCACAAGCCTCTCTGCTGCCTCCCCGCAACCCTCCTTCCCCAGGTTTTGCCACAGCTCTGCCTTCCCCCAGCCCTTCATAACCCAATTCTCCTCCTACCACCCCACCCCATGGGGGGGAAAAAAACCTCAACACCTTTAAAATGCTTCTTTTTTTTTTTTTTCTTTTTAGTGTGTGTGCAGAAGGGAAATCAGGAGGCAAAACCCAGCTGATCACTGAACCACGTTGCTGTTGGACAGTGAGCGGCACCTAAACCCCTTTTCACAGAATCACAGAATCTTCTAGGTTGGAAGGGACCTTAAAGATCATCTTGTCCAACCGTCAACCTAACTGACAAAAATAGTCACCCACACAACAAACAAGGAGCATCATCACTAAACCATACCTCCCAGCACTACATCAACCCGTCTTTTGAACACCTCCAGGGATGGTGCCTCAACCACCTCCCTGGGCAGCCCATTCCAATGGCTGATCACCCTTTCAGTGAAAAAATTTTTCCTAATATCCAGCCTGAACCTCCCCTGGCGTAACTTGAGGCCATTTCCTCTTGTCCTGTCGCCTGTGACTTGGGAGAAGAGACCGACCCCCACCTCTCTACGCCCTCCTTTCAGGGAGTTGTAGAGAGCAATAAGGTTTTGAGGCCAAACTGGAGGGATTTACCCTTTCCAGGGTTGGGGAAGGGCAGGGTAAGGTCCCCAGCAGCCGTCAGGGATGCCCCGGGAGCTCTCCCCTCCCACCGCTGGAGCCACTCAGCATTCCTTGGCCAGAGTTGACAGGCGCTGCCGAGCAGCTCAAATCCGGTTCCCACACTGGCGGGGACCTAAAACTAACATCCCCGAATGAGGTAACAGCACTTGAGTCAACAAACTGCCCCCGCCAGCTGGACGGGGCGAGGGGGACCGTGACCCTGCTCAGCGCAGGAGAGTCCCTCCAGCTGCTCTGGGGTTCCTCAGCCCCCACAGCAAATTCCCTCAGGTCACCTGGGTGTGGGTCTGGGTGGTCCCTCTGTTGCTTTTGCATCCCCCCAGTTGGAGCAGGTTCTGCTCCTCTCCTGCATCCTCCAACTCTGCTCACTGGGTACATCTGCATCCCGTCTGGGGGTACGATGGAGGAGCCATGCTGGCGTAACTTGAGGCCATTTCCTCTTGTCCTGTCGCCTGTGACTTGGGAGAAGAGACCGACCCCCACCTCTCTACGCCCTCCTTTCAGGGAGTTGTAGAGAGCAATAAGGTTTTGAGGCCAAACTGGAGGGATTTACCCTTTCCAGGGTTGGGGAAGGGCAGGGTAAGGTCCCCAGCAGCCGTCAGGGATGCCCCAGGAGCTCTCCCCTCCCACCGCTGGAGCCACTCAGCATTCCTTGGCCAGAGTTGACAGGCGCTGCCGAGCAGCTCAAATCCGGTTCCCACACTGGCGGGGACCTAAAACTAACATCCCCGAATGAGGTAACAGCACTTGAGTCAACAAACTGCCCCCGCCAGCTGGACGGGGCGAGGGGGACCGTGACCCTGCTCAGCGCAGGAGAGTCCCTCCAGCTGCTCTGGGGTTCCTCAGCCCCCACAGCAAATTCCCTCAGGTCACCTGGGTGTGGGTCTGGGTGGTCCCTCTGTTGATTTTGCATCCCCCACAGTTGGAGCAGGTTCTGCTCCTCTCCAGCATCCTCCAACTCGGCTCGCTGGGCACATCTGCACCCCATTTGGGGACACAATGGAGGAGCCACGCTGGCTCCCTGGGAGGTGGCCACAGGGTTGTGTGGCTCAACCAGAGCTCGGGGGACACCAGTCACCTCTGACATGGTCACCTCTTGCTCCACCTAACGTGTTTTGGGGTTGGGATGAGGAATGGATTATCCCTCCATCCCTCAATCCATCCCTCCATCCATCCCTCCATCCCTCCTAAGGCTGGAAAACCCCAAAGCAGCCAACAAAAACCCAACTGGAGATACACACTTGTGAGCCAGACCTTGGGAAAGACATTCTATGTAACACAAGGCATCAAGCCTATAAGCCCCATTAACAAACTCATTAAGATCCTACTGTAATCAAAGTAAGGAGAAGTGGTAAAAGGGAGGGTGGGGGAACACAGACCAAACTTCAGCACTAGCTGAAAGCATCGCCTGAAGAAGGCGGCTGCTGGGAACCAACAAGCCCATAAAATTTCTTTAGTCCACAAAGTGGTGCCAACTGTATATTTGGCCTTTTTTTTTTTTTTTTTTTGAGGATTTACAGATTGAGCTTTTGGCTTTTTTTAAATTTTGAAATTCACTGCAGCCGGAGGAACTGAGGTGCAGCTGGATGCGATGCCCGGCAACTCCTGGTTTCAGTCCCAACCGTTTTGCTGGGTTCCCTGCATGGCCAACGCTGCCCCATGAGCCCAGCTACACACAGGGTGGGGGGAAATGTGTGTATTTGGTCTGCATTGCCCCCTCCCCTGCCACAGGGGATGATCTGGGCACTTCCCCCACAGCTGGGTCCCCACGTTCCCCTTGATGCTCCTCTCCGGAGCTGAGCTTTTAGCCCAACGCCGCCTGATTCCGGCTGGTTCTTGCAGACCAGGATTTGAGCCGTTTCTGGAACACTTCTCCTTATAGCACACACTTTCCTGTTTTCCCACGGGTTGCAAAATGCAAAGGATTTTTTTTTTTTTTTTCACTTTGCTGTCAAGATTTGGCTAGAGGCTTGTTTACCGGGGCCCTACAAAGCAGGGAAACCAGATAGTGCCATTTCTCTGTTATCTACTCGGCTTGGGAGGCATAAAACTTGTGGCAATTTTCAGGAATAGGCCGAGTGGAAAGTTAAGGGCAAAGGGGTGGGAGGTGTTTTGGCGGCCGAGGTAGAGCGATGCCATGGGAGGATGCACCCTTGCCGTCTTTCTGCAGCTGTTTCGAGGCGTAATTGGCATTTTGGACTAACAATGCTCCGGCTCGTTTATTGTGCCCAGAGGAATCTAAGGGAAACAGGCCGGCAGACTCGTTGGCTCGCCAGCTCCAGCGCGTCATCTGCCTGGAGCGGGCCGAGAGGAGCAATGGATGATGCCAACCTGAGATGGTCACCCACCCCACAGGCCACCAGCGCGTCGCCATGCGCTGGTAATTGCCATCCCCGTCTCCAAAAAGTCTCCTGGCACAGTTCTGGCAAAGCTGGAGACCAGGTGGGACAGGGCTTTGAGCAACCTGTTCTAGTAGGAGGTGTCCCCGCTCATGGCAGTGGGGTTGGAACTCAATGATCTTTAAGGTGCCTTCCAACCTGAACCATTCTATGAAGCCACAGGCAGGACAGTGGCTCCATGTAGGGGACAACTGCACCCAGAAGGATGAGGGAGGCATTAAACACCAGCAAGGTCCATAAGTCACCTGGGTGCTTTAGGCTCCAAAATTAGGTTTTGCCAATCTGATGAAATATTTTTTATGTGTTCAATATAAAAATTTGATGAGAAGCTTTCCCAGTGCGGACACGGCTGCAGGTTCAGACATGGCATGAAGCAGGGCAGGGGATGCTCTCAGGAGTGGCTGTTCTGTTGTGGCATCTGGGCCATGGGCATCATGGTAATAAGGTCCTTCCTTGGAGTCATCCTCAGCGTTAAGGGCACTGTGGCTAAGAACATCATCATTTCTGCAGGTGTGAGCACAAGGATCATTTGCACCCAGCAACAGCTAAAGTAGGAAGGTGATGACCATGAGATGGCAGCAGACTGACACTTCTCCTCCTCCAGGAGCACGGTGGGTGCTACTGAGAGGTCCAAACCCTCTCTACGGTTGCCAGGCAAGGCCACCACCAAGCCACAGGGAATTCCAAGAGTTGCTGTGGTCATCAGGAGCGGTTGTGCTCATCAAGTATGTATCTCAAGGGGTTTTGTGAACTCAGTGTGGCTTCACTTTGCGTCTCAGAGTGAAGTCAAGAGTCAGTCTGTTTTACAGATGGGACAGCAGAAGTCCATGAACCCGAGCAGCTATTTCTGATGTTGTGCAGCATAAGCTGTGAGAAGGTCCCCGAAGTGCCAATTTCCCAATGTTTATGCTGTCTTGGCAATGCTGAGATCCAGAAACCAGAGCATTATAATGCCAAAAACCACCCCCGAGTCCTACCCACAGCTCACATAGATACAATCACCCTGTCAAGATCTCACCGCCATGTGGTGTTGTCTCTTCCTCTTTGTTATTAACTTAGAACTTCAACCTATTTAAAAAATTATCAAAATATTGCATCTTCCCCAATACAGGAAACTCATAGCTTCCAAAAGAATCGTTTGGAAGGTGGGTATCCCTCAGAAAAGCCAGCGGATGGTACCCACCCACCAGAAGAACGGGTCTTGGTGTATAGATTGAGTTGGGCTTGCTTTTCTCCAATCTTGGCCTCACATTTTACTACTCCCTGGTCTTGCAGAGGGTCAGAAACAAACGAAATGGATTTTTTTTGTACTCTAAATTTAGGGTTCTATGAGACCTGGCAGAGCAATGAGGACCATAGTGAGTCCCAAACTCCAGGCTGCTGTGCTTCCCAGCTGCTCTGCAGTTGGATGCCACCTCACCCCAGCTGTGAGGTTGCAAGATCTCACCAAGTACACAACTGTGGGGGAACTCCCTATTTTTTGTTTGGGTTTTGGGATGGACTTCTGGCCTCTCTGCAAAGGCAAAAGGCAAAAAAGGCCTTTGCAGAGGGAAAGTTTCACCCTCTAGAATTCCCCATTGCTCTTTTTCTGAGACCTGGGTGGGCTCAGCTGGTCCTTCTACTTGAAGAAGACCACACGGGCTTCTTCTCCTCCTGCCATATCCCCTACCGGGTGATACTTCTGAGTGCGGGTTTGCATTTGCCATTTTACACCCCCAAAGTGGTTGCATCTTATTTTGATGGAATTACTCTCATTTCCGTAGGCTCACGGGCTCAGAGTACCACAGGTTAAAAGCTGATCTCCAACAGCAACACAGCTGCTAATCCTACACAGGAGTCCAAAAGGGTGGTACTTACACAACTTTTAGCTTCTTTCAGGTAAATCATGGGCCAATTATTTTGCACCTGGTCTTCACAGATGACCTGGAAAGACAGAAGAAAAGCAACTCTCAAATCATTGGCATAGGTTGGGAGACCAGTTGATCACCGATACAACAGCCCAGCCCAAGCCAGGAGACATCCCAACCAAAGCTCTGATCCATTTTATGGAAGCGAGACAGGTCTGGGCCTTTATATGTGGAAAGGGTTTTCACAGACCAGCGAGATGGTTGTCTGTGGGATGTTTGCTAATGCACTTCCCAAACCAGGCTTAGGATTTACAGGGTAAAGCAGGAATTGGCTGAGGCAGTAGGAAGATCCATGCCAATGGGCCATGAAGCTGTCCTGCCCTACAAACGATGAGCATCTAGAAACAGGATCCCCCTCCCTCCTTTCCAGCACTTCAGTTATCCTGGCTTGTGTTTTGAGACCTCCCACTATGCTCCCAAACCATTTTCTGCTAATATCATCCATGAACGGTTGATGCTGAATTGCTGTCTTTGTCCTCTCATCATGTCCAAGTTCACCCCAAGGCAGCTCATGCTCTCCACAGTGCTTCCCCCCTCTCCTCCCAAGTTTCACTTCTTCCCTCTTCAGCACCCAGACCATAATCCCCTTTCACCCCCATCCTCTACGTCTCTTCACCAGAAAGCTACAGGAGAAAGGGGTTGGACTGGAAGACCTTTAGAGGTCCCTTCCAACCCAAACCATCCTGTGATCTAGAATTATTGTGATGCCTCATGTTTTCCTAAAGCAGGTCTCTCCGACACAGACATGCGCAGTGAGAAGGTCTGGATGCCAGTGAAGTATGAATAGAGATCACTATGAAGAACATAAACCTTGCCATAGATGTCATTACCTCGTTTTGGGAAGAAGTCCACCGCGTTGGGTGCTGGTGGCCAGGACAGCTGCTCGCCGTCTGGTCCCCTGGGGCTTGGGCTGATGGCTGCGCCCTGGCAGGGTCAGTACTTGTAGGTTTGGTTGGCACAAATGCAGGTCTTCTCTGGTCTGGGTCCCCAATATGCAGCAAAAAACAAGCAGATAGACACTGATACAGTACAGAGGGTACAGCTGACACCGTTCATGATTGGCTGAAAATAACTTTTCAGCTCCAGCCCTGCCTTGAAGCTCACTGTGTCAAAGCTTGGAGAGGCTTTGGGTTTCTTCTTTCTACTTAATTAACTGTGATATGAAAAAAAATATTGTTGCACAGTGTATTTTCTGCTGCTGAAACCCATCAGACTGTTCTGGAGAAATGAACCCAAAGGCTACGATAGCTGGATAATCCAAAAAGGAGTACTTCTGGGTAAATGGGATGGCCCTCATTTCCCTTTATCTGAGGTGTCTTCCATGGAGGTTTCTAAAACAGAGGCAAACTATCTGAGCTGGCTACTGAGGATCTCCTAGCAAATGGAGTTCATCATACAACCCCACTGACAAGTGTATCTCCATCAGCTATTGAAGAAGCCCAAGGTGACGTGCTTTGGAGAGCCTGGTACTGTGGGAGACACCCCTCCCTGCCTGCTGCTCTAGAGGGGCACATGCCCCACGTCTACCAGCCCCATGCAGGTGTCTCAGATACCTGAGATCACCTCAGATGCCTTTGCTAACGTCTGTAGCATCTTACAGTTTCTTGTGCAATGGGAGTAGCGCAAGGAGCACTAGAGGGGCACATGCCCCACGTCTACCAGCCCCATGCAGGTGTCTCAGATACCTGAGATCACCTCAGATGCCTTTGCTAACGTCTGTAGCATCTTACAGTTTCTTGTGCAATGGGAGTAGCACAAGGAGCACAGCAACCTCCTGCCTGCCCAAATCCTTTTGAAGAAATGGATCTCTGTCCCTGGGTCCCTAATGGATCCTTAAACGGTGACAAAGAGAATTAAAACGCCACATCCTGTTCGCGGCCTGTTTGCTTTTGGGACTCCTGACTCTTCCACAGAAAAGATGAAGCATATTTCTCTCCCAGACACATTCTGAAGGCTCCAGGAGAGAATTAATTTCAAAGCCATCTGTTTCTCTTGCATTCTCTCACCTATTTATTAAATGTAAAAGTTCTTTAAACCTCCCCATGCTCAGTGCATGAGGTCAAATTTGAATTAACATAATTTCATGTGTCATCCTTTAATGGAGAACAGTCCTGTGGAGCAGGAGGGGAAAGAAACATCCTTCATGAAGACACCCATTTCACCTCTTAATACCTGCTAACGTGCTCAAAACATGACTTGGATGAAGCCAAGTCTCGGAAGACTTGGAAGAAAGGTCTTGCATTAAGACCTTGGCCCCTTTAGTGATGCTGACATCAAAGAGTAGCTGGAAGGCTGAGGGGGAAGAAGATGGTTTTTTGACTGACTTCTGTATTACAGGTAGCTGGAAATTGAGTCAAGAACAACCTTCTCCAGAGGAAGACAATGAAGGGCTTCAGTGTCATCACAGCTTTTTTTTCAGAGCCAGGCGTGAGCTGGATCCACAATCCCACCCAAGTCTAGAAGCCCTCACAGTCTCACCGTGTGATCCAGCGCTACCAGACAAAATGCCAAAGGGGACCCTAGACTGTGCCTCACCAGGACACTTAGGAACTGACATGGCTCTGCAAAGCTCCAGAGGTCTAGAGGAAGCATATTGATGGTGTTCAGTAAGAGCCTAAACACCACTCATAATGCTGCTTAGACAGAAGTCAGCAGCCAAACCCTGTGGAGCAATGACGAATATCTGACCTAACTGCTTAGACTCTTTAGAGGTTTTAGACTCAGAGTCTACAGCAAATCTCCTTAGTCATCTAAAGCTTATTTTCTGTGCATGCCCAGACAGCCTCCACTAAGCTGTCAGGCAAACTAGGGATCTTCTCCAGTCAGCATTCCAGGTGCTGTCAATCTGTTTCACCAGCTCTACAATGTCACTCTCCATCTCCGAACTAATGGCTGCTGGCTCCCTTTTGCAGTCACTGAAGATCAAGTCATTGCAGTTGATGGAACCTCAGGCACAGCTTGGTCTATCCGAAAGCCGATGTCTATGTTTTGCCAGTTGATTCATGCCTTGAATTTCACTAACTGCATTGACTTGAACTCCACTGATGACAACAGGGACCTAAACACCCAGGTGTCATGGAGACAACTACGCTGGAAAGTCCTAAAGTGAGACAAGGGGATGACACCCAATAATGACAAGAGGTGTTTAGGGTAGCCAAAGGAAAATACCACAAAAAAGCCTCCCAGCCCAAGAAATCAAGGTTCTTGTATCCTGGTACCTGCTTCAAGAGTCGGCGTGGTTGCCTCTGAGACCTTGTGAATGCTGCCAGGTGATGAAGATGCAGATGCATTACTAGCAGTGGGAGAGACGGATCCATCAAAAGGGGTAACAGAAGTTTTCATGCTTCCAGGAGTGGTGGAAGATGTCAGTCCCTGGTCTGGAGAACCGGGAGAAGATTGAGGCTGCTTGGTGACAGATGTGGGAGAAGAGACACTATGGTTCTTGAGCCCAGGGGCATGGCTGCTCGTTGGGACTCCGGTGGTTGCAGCAGCGCTGGTCAATTGGCTCACAGGCTGCCTTCCCTGAGCTCCCACGCTGGGATCGGTTCTGACAGCAGTTGCTAAACCCCCTGGGGTGGTTGGAGAACCACTCGTGTGAGTGGGGACGGGAGTCACAGCAGTGGTGGCTGCTGAGCTTCCCGAGCTGGCTGGAGGGACAGTCTTCTGCTGGGCCACACTGGAGGTTGCAGCAGAGACAGCTGCTGAAGCTCCCGAGGTGGTCATGGTGCTGGTCTGCTGAGGCTGGTGGGGTGATGGCGTGGGGGCAGGTGATGGGTTTCCCAGGTTGGCTGTGGTGGCTTTCCCTTGATCTGCAGCAGGTGATGTCGCGGGGGTGGATGATGGCTTTCCTAGACTGCTTGTAGGGGTGGTCTCTTGAGGAGTGGCAGGCGATACCACAGGGGCAGGTGATGGGTTTCCTGGGTTGTTTGTGGTATTGGGCACTTGATCTGCAGCAGGTGGTGTCGCAGAGGCAGATGGTTTGTTTTCTGAATTACTTGTAGTGGTGGTATCTTGCATCTTGGTAGTGCCTGCAGTTGTGACCTGACCATTTTCTTCTGGCTTTGCAGTAGTTGTTTGCTTAACATCTTGAGAGCTGACACCTAGGGAAAAGTAAAAATGCCAAGATAAACTTTGAACTGAGGAAACTACCCTTGGTTTCCACTCAGAACAGGTATTTGTAGAAATAAATGCTGACCAGAAACCATGAGTCATTCACTCAAGTCTTGTCTCATACTCCTTAAATTCATATCAGATTCCATGTGCTGGTATCACCGTGTCAAACAGAAAGCAGAGCAGAGGAAGAGGAAGAGAAGAAGTCAAACTTGCAGGACTTCAAAGGGATTGGAGGGTGAGCAGGAGAGAAGGACCTGCTGGTTCCCAGAAGGCACATCTTTCTCAGATGGGAGATGCACCACCTCCTGTGCAGAGCACTGCAAGTCATTCCTGAAATAAAGTGCCTCCAGCCCTTGTAAGAGAGCAGCCAAGAGATGTGCTGAAAGCTGTTTGTCCAACCCTGTTATGAGGGTCTCTCACATCCTTGAAGCAGTGATAAGCCTCAGATAAATAAGGTGACACTTCTGATCATTCTGAAAGTTATATTCTTTTTGTAAGCTCGAGTTTTGTTTCTTTAATTGCTCCGTGTTTTAACTTAGAGGTTTTTTTTCCCTTCCCAAACTCAGATAATTGCTATAAAAACATCATAAAATAGGCACTCTCACTTGAATCCACAGAGTAAAACCATTGAGGGTGGTGAGACACTGGAGCAGATTGTCCAGAGAAGTTGGGGGTGCCCCATCATTGGAAGTGTTCAAGGTCAAGTTGGATGGGGCTTTAAAGCAACCTGATCTGACCATGGCAGGGGCTTGGTCTAGATGATCTTCAAAGGTCCCTTCCAACCCAAACCGTTCTCTGATCCTATGATCCTATGAGAATTTGTACACACTGTAATTCCCAGTTGGGTGAACTGTGGAAACGATATGGCTGTGGCAGGCACCTGGCGTCCAGCCGGGGTCAACCCACCACACCACTTCTCCAAAACAGGAGTCATACCTCCAAGGTTTGATTTTTAGCCATATCCTATAACTCTGCTCTCCAGACGTCTGCTTCATCACTCTGTGCTGGCAAAGTATTTTCTCTTACGGAGCCTGTTTATTAGCAGTGGTTGTGCTTCAAAGATCTGGGGAAAGCTTGAGCTTCTGAGATTTGTACCGCGGGGGAAATCTAACCCCACCATATCAGGACCCCAGGGGGATGTGGAGGTATGTTTGAGACAGGACACGGGGAGTGGGATTTGGGATGGGGAGGCTGCAACACTATATCTTTGGGAAAAGAGCTTTTGTGGAGACGAGTCATGTTTCCTATAGACAGGACACTGTCTGCAGGAGAAGAGGAGGTAAGGAAGCCAAACACAGGCACGGGCACTTAGCAGGTGAAACCCAGGTGCAAAAGATAGGAGGGAGTTTTCATTCAGTTAGCCTGTAAATGAGCCTATCCCCTAAATAGGGCTGTAAAAGTTTGACAGGGGCTTTGACAAAGAAAGTAAAGAAAAAAAAAAATCCCCTGAAGGTAGAAACAATACAAAAGAGACATAAATAAAGAAAGGGTCAGAAGGAAGGTGGAGGAAATCCCCCACTGCTCTCACTTCCTGGCCCCATCCCAGAAAGGCAGGAAGCAAACATGCACCTAAGGAGAGGTAGAAAAGACAATTCAATTTGACTTGGTCCAAAAGAGAAAGGGGCAGGTCCATACTTTGGCTCTGGGCCAGCCTCGGTGGCCAGCTGGGACCCTGCTAGCCAAGAAACCAGCATCCCTGCCCTAGCTGTTCCCCATCCCACCCCGGGGAGCTGCAGTTATGTTTTTACCACTTTTAGCAAAAACTTTGGGGAAAAGCCCAAAGCAAGGGGTTGCTCTGCTGATGGAGAAAGCTGGTGTGATCCTCCAGGCTGGCCCTGGCTGGGGTGGTAGTAGGGCTTCTTTCAAGACACACAGGGTGACACAGCCCAGAAAAGCAACTGGGAGAAGAATCAAGACTCAAGCTGATGCCCACAAAGCTTACTTGTATTTTATTTTATCTCTGCATCCACTCTTAGTGCTCCTCTCTTGTTAAGATCAAGAGATGTTAAAAGACCATTTTTTTTCTTCCTCAGCAAGCCAGGAGCAGTGATTTGAGTGGGCTGAAAGCAACTTGAGGAGCCAGCACTCTCCTGCTTCAAAGCCATGAGCCACCATGCAGGAAGATGGATGGATGGATTCAATGGCTGCTGACCATGCAGGCAGGTAGGACATTAACCATCCTTCTATGTGGGTCCGGCTAAGGTCAGTCAATGCTAAGTGTCACAGAAGTAGAAATCACTCTCCTTTGGTGGATAATGACCTGCATCCCTTTGGTAAGTGGCAACACAAGTGATATATGAACCAGAAAACACGTCACTACAGCTTTCCCTCCCTACAAACCTGCTCCTGATGTATCAGGCTGGATGGCACCACTGAGAAGCCCTTTGCAAAAGATCTCCCAAGCCAAACTTGATCTGAAGGTGACGTTTCTTTAATAATCTCCATCCCAGTCCAGCGGAGCTGCTACCAAATTTTCCCTTTCCCCCTTTCTTTTTCCGCAGATTGCTCTCAAAGCAGACTGTTTTGAAGAATTATTGTTGCCGGCTGAAATGCAATAGCTGTGGTGAACAAACACCCATGGAGATGGCCACAGGGAAAGGACAAGCAAGCTTGACACTCTTCAAGAAAACATGCATCACCATAAGAAGGACCCTCAACACACCAGTGGAGAGCAGCCACAGCTATGGCTGGGTGGGATCCTCCTTTGATAGAGGACTTGCATCCCTATCCATCCCCACACCTCTTCCGCAGATTTTTGGGCACCAATCTGTCAGCAAAATTTACCTTCTCCCTCCAGTTGCATTAAATTAAGCTGTTCTCTCACCGCTGCAGCACAAGGAGCCAGATGTTGCTGCACTCGCGGGGGCTGCAGTCTTATTGCTCTGGGCTTAATATTAGTTTTTTTGTCCAGGGATTCTGTCTCACTGCAGCATTGGGAAAAAACCCTATTTTATTTAGACTGGAGAAAAACATTGCTTTTTTTTTGGGTGTCTTGCAGGTTCACCACCCGCAGAAGACCTGGCTTAAGCAAACTCATTTCTCTCACTTTCAGAAGCCTAGAAAATACTCATTTCCAAAGCAGAAGCAAACACAGGAGAAGCAGCAAGAGCACCGCAAGCCCGGGAGTCCACGTTTTCCTCCCACATGTGCTGTATCTCTTTCAAACACCAGAGAACTATGTGTTTTTTTTATCTTTTCCTCCCTAACTGGCCACCCGTGCCAAATCTCGGCGACGGACCCAGGGGTAATAACTGGTAATGAGCCCCTGTTTGCCTGGGCTGGTAGCCAGTATTGCCTGATGACTGTCCTCAGCAGAAGAACCAAAAAGGCTCTGGTCTGAAGGAGGAGAAAACCCCTGTAACCACAGACTGGTGGTAATAACAGCCCCGACAGGACAGGATTATGCTCGGTGTCCCTTTAGCATGAAAATTCCTCACAAAAGATACAGTACCTCCTTTTGGAGGAAACAAATGACCCTTTCACGCTGTGAGCCCCGGAGATAAAAGGATTTAACTCATGCTATGAGAGAGAAGGAGGATGGAGAAGAGGTCCTCTAAGCCATCCCTCCCCTTACCAGGAGGAGTTCCTCTCCAAAAGAAAAAGTTCAGTCAAATTTCACCCAGAGTCCCTCACCCTGTTTTCCAGAAGGCAGAAAAAAACTACCCGCCCCGACCTTCCTGGCTGCACTTTGGCAGGGCAAGGCCACATTTGATTTCACTTTTTTGGACCGTCATCAATTCCTCATTTGAAGGAAAATGAGATTAATAGAGCAGCTACTGGTGTAGTTTGACAGCACTGGTTGCAATGAGTCAAATACTTTGGTCTGCACCTCTCCTCTGGCACGTATCACTCAGAAAACCCCAAACTTGTGCATTTCTGTGCTGGGTGCGGGGGGTAGACCAGCAGGAGGAGAGTGCAAGCCCTCCCCACACACATCTGTGTGCATGGGGGCCAAACAGCCCGGAGGAAATGAGTCTGCTGCACAAACATGATCTCGTTTCCGGATATGTGGATCCCATGACCATGCCTGTGATACGGTGTCTCCGTGATGGGGACAACCCCGGAGGGGAGAGAACTTTCCCTTATTGCTAGCTATCAAGATGGACTTGTTCAGCCCACAGTGAGTGATATTTGGGAGGCTGGAAGTGTCGGTCCCTGCTGCTGTCGGAGCACCTGGATAGCACTGGCGTGGGAATTCTTTGGTCAGGAGATGCTGGGGTGGGAAAAGTCAACCAAAAACGTAAAAGAGAAAGTGTGAGGGTTTGTGCCAATGCAGCTCCTTGCAACATCAGTCGAGGGCCACGTTTTTCAGCTGCTGTGCACCACCACTAACTGTGCCACGGAGTGACACTCTGGTTGTAACCGGGTTGCAGTAGATGCGCAGGTCGGGAAGATGCTCAGGGTGGGGAAGTAACTTTTTTGGAAAGGTCATGGCTTGGAGGACAAAAAAAGAAGCAAACCAGCACAAAATGCAAAGCGAAAGGACACGTCCCATCCCTCCTCTCATCAGCCCACCCGAAGCCACCACCTCCCCACGCAGCTCCTCTGATTAATTCCCTGACCAACAGAGGCAGGAGTGTGTCTGCCCTTTGTGCTGAAGCCATGGCTGCTCTTCCCTTTGCCTTCAGACTCGGGTATTCGTTGTGTTTCCCCCAAGAAAAAGTCAGAGCAGGCTTTGGGGTGTGCAGGTCTGGTTACTTCTGGGACCCTCAGCTCTCCTTCTCCTTGGCCCAGTGTGGGCAGGGATGATGGGTATGTGCCCTGATTTTATAGAATCATAGACTCATAGAGTTGCCCAGGCCGGAAGGGACCTCCAAAGGCCATCTAGTCCCACCCCCCCTCTTCCCCATCCACCTTGTTGAAACAGCTCAGATTGGCTGAAAAATCTATTAATAGTGAGAAAAGGAAACCCAAAAGAATAACTTCGGAAATGGTGGGTGACACACCCCACGCCGGCGGGCTGAGCCCAGCTCGGAGCCTTACGC